ACACAAGAGTCACACAGATATTAAGTGGCTTCAATTTTACTTCCTAAGTGAATCTCAAATACCACTTTTTCCGCTCCCTTCTCTACTTCCACAACTTTGTTAGGCCTTCCACAACTTCTTTAATCAATTCATCTTTGCCTTCAGTGTCAGCCCCCACCATAGATGGCCCTCTAACTGCACCACTGCCATAGCAACACAAATCTGACCACATTACACTTCTGCTTGAAACCATGCGATGGTTATCCATTGTCTATAAGGTTCTTTCAGGATTTGGTCCACATCTAGATCTTCAACTGCCTCCATTCACCATCCTTCTCTTCCAACACATACACACTTAATGGTGTAATAATACAGCACTACCTGTATTTCCCTTAACATACCACAAAGTTTTGGGATTCCTTTGCATCATGTAATTCTTTTCCTTTCAACACTATTTCAGACACCTGGAAAACAAATATTCATGTTTTAAAACCTTACTCAGTTTTACTTATTCTTTAAAGCTTTCCTTGACCACTTCTATGTCCAAGTAATCACCTTTTTCTCTACTTCTTCCTTGCCTTGAACATATTTCTATTAGTTCACATGTGACATTAACTTGTATGTTCACATGTGTATCTTCCCTATCAAACTGTAAGCTCATCGACAGAGCAGAGCCCTGTCTTTTTTTTTAACCATCAAGTGCCTCAAAGTCATTCAATAAACATAACCTGGAATTAATTAAAACAATGTCTTTACCAAGGAGAGTTTATCTCACACTTGATGCATCCCCAAGAGAGATCTTTGAAAAGGAAGATGTGCAAATATAGAGTATAAAATATACAGAGTTGAAGTAAATAAGAATTTCTTGAACAGCCAAAAATTCTAAGGAATCTTTCAAAAGGATATGTGGCAACAGAACCAAAAAGAAAACATTCGCATAATGTGGTAAAAATACTATCTCAAGGACAGCAGCCTGACACTTGAGATGATGAAAAGCAGAACACACCAAAGCCTAAGGAACTAAACATCCTGACTCTCTTTTCTCGATCAGATAAAACCCTATGAGAAATCATGTAACAATCCATCTACCTTAGCAACCACATTAGACAATGGTTTGTAAACTTTAAGAATGGCAGAATCTGTGCTAAATGTCTTAAGACTGTGTTAATCAAAACAGCTGGTATTTTTCAGAGCTGGAGGAATGTGAGAGATTATCAACAACTCCCTCCATGTATAGTAAGAGAAACTGAGGCTTAGGGAGGAAATGACTTACCCAAGATCCCACCACCGGGTAAGGGAAAGATGAGAAGTGAGGACAGTGGCTTCCACAGCCTCTGTCTGCAGCTCTCTCCACTCCCCAACACTACTCTTCTGCAGGTAACTTACAATGCTATATTGTTTCCTTTGGTTTAGTTTCCTTTGGTTTACACATAAGGAGTTATTTTACTCTCTTAATCCTTTAAGTCTGTAGGTGGTATCCAGACTTCATCTAAATGTTAAAAATGATTTCCACAAGTCATAGATTACTTTCACGTACCACTCCTTTCTTCCTCCAACAAAAGCTAGCAATGTGATGTGTCCCATCACATTGGAGCAAAGGCTTTTGGTAATAATGCTGATACTGTAACATGCTATCATAAGTCATCACTCAACCTGGTTTGTAAAACCCAGCTAACACTTCATTGATATTTCATTAAAAGCTTTACCATTTCCCTCAGTAATCCAAGGGAGGTGGTTTTATTTTACAGTGACAAGAAAGAACAGTAGGTGGGGACAGTGACTAGTCAACAGACAAGACAGTCTTGGGATTACAGAATCTGAGAACTGCTGAAGCAGTGGAATACAAACATCTAGCTTATAGGATATTTTAGATTCACAAACATGAACTGTGGTTTCTGCCCATGACTGTAAAGTCAATTATCTAATAACAAAATCATCAAAACATAACAATATTATTTATTTAATGCTTAAAAAAATTATTTATTGAGTGTTTTCTTATGGTTAGAGACTATTCTAAGAATTGTACACACTTCTTCACCAATCCTCACAAAATCCCCAAAAGGCAACTATGATACAGATGAGGAAAGTGAGAAACGAAAGGCAATGCCATGATTTCTATATACAAGGAGCTTCTAATTCACTGCCATCAAGTCAATTCTAACTCATAGCAACCCCCGTTGGGTTTCCAAGGTTGTGAATCTTATGGAAGCAGACTCCCTTATCTCTCTTCCACAGAGCAGCTGGTAGGTTTGAACCACCAACCCCTTGGTTAGTAGCTGAATGCCTCACCCACTGCACCACCAGAGCTCCTAATAGAGTTGGCACAACAGAAGGAGAAAAGTCATGGAGCAAAAAAGAGACCAGAGCTGGCACTTGACCCCAGGTCTGTGTAATTTCAAAGTACTTTCTTTTTCTGTTCTATCACACTACCTCCTTCTCTGCAAATTCTCCCAGACTATCAATCTGCCAAGTCAAATCAGGAGCTAACAATTTCACAAATTACCAGATATGAAAAATGAATTACATCTCTACAAACCCCAAACTACCATCTGGAAAGTAAAATTTTCTAATACCCTAGAACAGTTGAGTCTATAGAGTCAACACCTCCTAGAACAGGGTTCAACTATATTTTAAAACACACATTCACCCATAAATGCAGGAGCCTTTCTTGGGAGAAGAAGAAGAGTATGAGAGAGAAGAGGAAATGGTCTCCTTCAGGAAAAGCTGGCTTATAAGAATGAGTTTTTATATTATGCTAAATACTGGATTTCAAAACTAAGTACAGTTCACTGACATCAACATCTTAATCATAATTTGGGAGCACACCTTTTAAGAGGGAGTTCATTCACTCATTCAACAAATTCCAGTGCAGCAACCTCACAGGTAGCACTGGGCTAGGGGGCCACAGAGATGTGTAGAACACAGTCCCTACCTAAGAGTGCTTATAATCTCATTAGAAAAATCAGGTCAATGTGTGTAAAGATAAAAAGTAGCAAATAAACATACTCCAAAAGAGTGGGCTACAAAGAAGCAGAGAAAAGTGAAGACGGAAACAGCAATGGAAGGAAACAGCAACGGAGCTATTCAAGAAAAGCTTTTAAGACTTTTAAGCTGTATCTTAAAGGGATGTGAGAATTAGAATTAGAGGCAGGGGCAGCAGGGAATACATGAAGATCCAGAAATTGGGGAGGCGGGTAGCTATTAAAAAAAAAAAAATCAATATACAAATGTTCTCCCACAAGGGCAAACTGATATGGATACAAAAACATTCATAGAGTACTAGTCAAATAAATTATAATACATCCTTACAGTCAAATAGTACACAAGTATAAAAATAAATAAGGTAGCTGTACATGTACTAATTTGCATTGTATATTTCTAAGTATAAAAAGCAAGGTATAAACAGTGTGTGTACCATCTTTTGTGAGTTTAAAAAATAAAAGATTTATACATATAAACTTTCGTATGTTTACATATTCATAGACTATCCATGGAAGGACACAGAAGGAAGATACAAATAGTGGATGCCTCTGGAGAAAGGACATAGCTGGCTAAGAACAAAGGCAGGCTAAGGACTGAGTCGGGTCCGACTCAACGGCACCTAACAACAACAAATGCTCTGCAGAGGCAGGTGGAGCAAAGATCTTACACATCAGGCTGAAAGGTTCAGACAGCATGCAAACTCTTGAGCAGGGTTTCTCAGCAGTGGCATTACTAATTTTATGATTGGATAATTCATTGTTGTGAGGGGGTTGTCCTACACATTGTATGAGGTTTAGCAGTATCCTTGGTCTCCACCCACTAGATGCCAGTAGCACCCCTCCATTTTCCTACCAAAAAAATGTCTCTAGACACTGCCAAATCTCCTTTAGGAGGCAAAATCACCTCTGGTTGAGAATCACTGCTCAAGAGCCACAATGTTAACAGTTAGCTGACAAATATTCTAACATAACATTCCTGTATATTAACTGCAAACACAACATATATTCAGATATGCATCTGAGCAACACATCAGATGTTGTTTTAAAATGATCTTCATACAGCTATCATAGATGCATTAATTCAAGTCTCATTCCAAATCTCAATGGTTCCTTTTTAACCATATCTACTCTATCACAGATGCCCCTTTTCAGCATTTACTGAATACAAATGACAAAGACCAATAAAGAAAAGCCAGATATTTTCAGCAGAACAAAGAGTGGGGGCCAGATCCACCAATGGGCTTCCCAGTAATGCACTGACCCTACTAAGCCACTGTAGCACAATTTCATGAGTTAGTAGAACACACCTCCCATAACAGCATGCACTCTCTGGATCAAAGACCTTCTAGGATGCCCAGGAAGGCTACCCCCAACAGACATCTAGCAGAAAGATCATATTGTGGCTCAGTTTTTGAAAAAGTGATATAATTGTTGACCCACTGAGAACATATTTACTTGCATCATGGTATTTCTTCTCTTAACTCCTAATGACCATACAAAGTACAAGACACTGTTCAAAAATCATAAAAGACACTGCCCCTGACTTCAAGCAGATTATAAAAAGGATTAGTTATAAAGCCAAGAGCAGCCTTAACTTGATACTACAAATCACAATTTTATTAAGCTTAAATCCATTTCTAATATACCAACAAATAGAGAGGAGAAAAAAAATTAATAAAAACTGAAGACATCCAACAGGGTTGAATATTTTTCAAATACAGATCTAAAACTTGTTGATTCTCCTTTGCCTTTTTCTTTTCCCAAAGCCAGAAATCCAATAATACCCTGGCAAACTTGGCTTCACATTTTGAAGTCATCGATTCCTTCAATACTGTTGGCAGTTGAAAAGTTCTGGATTTCATTCTCATGAAATCATGCTCTTCAAATTCTAGTACTGTGGTGACTACTTTTGCTTAGCTCTCAGAAGGTTGGCTCTCATTTGTGGAGGTGACCTCCAGTGACCTCACTCTGCAATAAATACACCTGCAAGTCACTATGGAAGGTGCTTAAAAGTGTCCGCGGCAAAAAAAAGAAACTCACCATTCTAACTACTTCAGGGTAAGTCTGCTCTGTCAAACAGCCTCTGCTTATTGTAATGTAGTCCACCAGTTCATTAAGAGTGGAGCGCTTGTATTCTTTCATTTTAAGATCAGATAGCGTGTCCATGAAGTCAAAAATGACACAGCACTGCTGAAGTTTCTTTAGGAACAGTTCAGGCTGCTCTGAGGATGGAACGTCTAAGAAAAAAAAAGGAAATGGTGTAAGTCTGTCATCAATTTCTAGGTAACAGGAATTTTCTGTGAAAGTTACTTCAAAAGCAAGCTCAAAAAAAAATAAGAATTCATATGACAACAGTGTTTTGTTTTTTTTTTTTTAACAGTTACACATGGGGAAGAGGGCATACCATAGCCACTACTTTAGAAGCTTTGACTCAGAAAACTACATTGTACCAACAGAATTGACAGCATTTGCTGTTTCACAACCAAAGATTAACCAAAATCCCAAGAGCCAATAGAGAGATGAAGCAAATTTTAACCAGAAACACCCCAAAGTCAACACCTGTAAGTCCAAAAACACTGAAAAGTTCTGAATTTAGAAATTATTCCTAGCCAGGTGACTTTTTCCTTATCCCGCCATCATGATGGGCCCCCAAAGGCCTGAAAAAGTCAAATATCCCATTATAAGGTTAAACTAGAAGGATTCACTGTTAGTTTAAATTATTTTACAAAAAATTTCAAAGCAGAAATGTCAGTCTCTACATTTTAATTTCAGGCTGACATCCTTGATATTTAGAGCAACTGTGTGTATGTGTGTGTGTGTGCTTGTTTTTTGTTAGGCTTTGTTCTGTTTTGGCTTCATCTCAATGAATTTTCTCTGTCAAAGAAACTTGAAAAATAAACAAAATGAAGCAATATCAACTCTCTCAAAAACAGCACATCAGTAATAGGAAATTAAGAGCAAACTCCTCTTAAATCTACACTCTTTTGGCCCATCTTCTTCTGTTAATATAGAAGAAAACCACTGACATCTTTATTAATATGTTCACAGAAACATCTGTTCTTTTCCCACAAACAGCAGGTCAGACATTTGGCTTGGTGCTATTTCTTAAAAAAAAAAAAAAATCTGTAGAAATTTCAGGTTAGTTGAAACTCCCCCAGCTAGAAAGGAAACCTAATCTAAAGTTGGACTTGAAATACACCAACTAAGTTGCAGACAACTCATTTCTGTCTCCTATTTTATGCCCGCCTCCTGCCCCCAAACTGCAATTTCCAAGGACAAGCCATAAAAATCACAACCAGGGTACACACTGCTGCCTTCCAATTGTTGCCTAATCCAAGGCAATTAACTCATTAATCCTCAGTACACCCTTACAGGTAAGGTAAGCAGGTAGAATTACTACTCTACTTTTCATGAAAAAAATAAGAAACAATCATTGAGGTCCCACAATGAATGAGTTATGGAGCTGGGCACAGTGCCCAGGTCTTCAACCACACTCCCACGTACCCTGTGTACTATACGAGGAGGACTTTGCCAGCCTCCAAGGAAATGCTTGAGAGTAGCCTCACAGTATGGGCCACCTGCTTTCTAGTGTAAGTGTAACAGCTAACAGCATCCACCTTCCTATCCCCAGGAGACCCAGCAAAGAGGATGGAGGGCCATTCTCCTAGTCACATAATCCGCATGGCTCCTGTTCACCACCTCCTTCCCCTGCTCACATCTCACAACCCAAATGCCAGCCCAAGTACCACGGACTTCATGGGCAATATCCCCAAAATATCGTCTACTGACATCCACTTCAGGATAATCCTGAAAATGGATAAGACACCTGAAAACATATGATTACTCTCCAAGATACAGTAAGGGCACAAGAAGCAGTCAGTATCTTTAAAGGTATATAGTATCATTGCTACTCTCAGCAAAAAACAAGTTCTGAATTTAGAAATTATTCCTAGCCAGGCGACTTTTCCCTTACCCCGCCATCCCAATGGGCCCCCAAAGGCCTAATTATCTATCTAGCAGTCAAAGACCTTGGAATTGTTCCATGCCAAGGCATGAAATACGTCTTACTCTATGCCTTTAGTTTTAAAACATCTAGCCTTAGACTGAAGAAAGTTAGTCAGATCAAGCTTTCTCTTTATTGCCACCTCCTTATTAAAAAAAAAAAAAAACCTGAAGAAAGCTACTTATGAACATAAATGTATATCTTCAATCAATGTCTAATTAGACCTGCAGGGCCATCATGGTTAATTACTGAAATCTAAGTTCTACCTCAGGCCCCACACCTTGAACCTGAATGGGGGTTGTGACACTGCAAAGGGAACAAGAAAAAGCTTATTAACATAACATTAGTTAAAAGTTAAAATCTTCAGGAGAAATTTTTGGTAGAGTAACTTTAATAAAGCCTAAAAACCAGACCACCTACATGGAAAGCTCCTCCACTCGGCACATATGAATTATGAGGGCATCTATAAATGATAGCCTTTCCTCCGAAAAGCAAAGCATCATTAAAGTAGTGACAACAACAATTAATCTTTGTAGCCACTGCAATAATACTCAAGAGATTCACATATTTGGATATTGAAAAAAAAAAAACCTGGCAGTTAACATTTAGTTCTTTTCTTTTTAATGTTAAGTAGCTGAATTTATTCTTTATTTATCCAAACTGATGTACTGTCACAGCGAATGTGAAGCAGGCTGCTCACACTGGAATAATGACAACAGATTACATTTAATGAGCAATTGGTACATCTGGAGTCCCTGGATGGAGCAACCAGTTAGCACACTTGGCTGCTAACTAAAAGGCCGGGGGTTCAAGTCCACCCAGAGGCTCCCTGGAAGAAAGGTCTTGCCAAGCTACTTCCCAAAATCAGCCATTGAAAACTGTATGGAACATAGTTCCACTCTGACACATGTGGGGTCACCATGAGTCAGAGATGACAGCAACTGGTTTTTATTGTTTGTATTTACTGTGTACTCTTCTAAGCACTTTACACATCTCATTTAAACCTAACAGCAACACTATAGGTACTATTTCCCATTTCACAGATGAGAAACACTAGACATGTTCAGTGACTTGCCCACAGTCATTCAGCTAATAAGCAGTGGAGATTAGATACAAACCCAGGCAGACTGGCTCCAGAACCTGTAACTCTTCACCACAGTGCTACACTCAATCTCCATGAAAGGCAAGAGTAATATATTCCAGAAACCTGGGTGTGTGCAGAGAAGAGGAAGAACATAGAAATAAAGTCATCCCCCCCATGCCCTCATGCAAAAAGTACTGAAACCTATCTCTATCTCACCTCCAGCCCATTCCCCAGGAATGAAACCATATAGCACCAAGCTTTACCACTTATCATAGACCTCCTTTACTTACAAAGCTCTTAAGAAGTCGAGAATGACCAAAAGAAGAGAAGAGGAAAAAGGTTTCCTCAAAGAGCCAATCCTTTAAAGTAATAACTAAAAATAAATAAATAAATCTGTGACAAAGGGTGATCTAACCAGCAACAATCCAAGCAAGGGCCCTTTCCTGTAATGTTTGTCACAGCTCTGCCCTACCAGCCATGCTGCTCCCAACCTCCTAACCTTCATCTCCCTAGTCCCAGCAGGATGTGAAAAGACAGAACAAGCCAGGATGAGAGATGAAACACTCAAGTTTATAAAATATAAGAAAAATTCAATGTCTACGGAACCAGTATGAGAAGCAGATACAAATATTTTCCTTAAAGAAGCATTTATAAAAAAGGATCAGGTACTAGGCCACAAAGAAAAGCTCATAAAGGGCAAAAAGAAATCAATCTGACCACAAGAAGGTAACGCTACATTTTAGCAACTCAAAGCTACCCACCTCCCAAATCCCAACCATGTGGAAATTTAAACACTTCTGAAGTCAGTCCGGTTGAAGAATAAAACAAATACACATATTCAGAAATAAACCTAAATGAAGAAAATTAAAAGTCATTTTCAAATTCCAAAGCAGACCAGACAGTGGATGCTTTTGCCAGGCTACCTTCCTACACAGGCCAATGGAACCCCCTGGCTTCAGAAACCGTTCCCACCCACTCGGAGAGGGATGTCCCTCCTCCAAATCATAACCATAAATAATGAAGCATTGATAAGTGGTTATGCAATACCCTGAAGGTCATGAGTATAACTACCCATCCAGCCAATGTTAGTATTTGTAATCACAACCTGCTAAGAGCCCATAAGGTCAGACTCCACTGCACCAGAAGAACTTTGCCAATTCAGTTAATTTCCAGAATGTCTTCTACCCAAGAAAAAAAAAATCGTAAGTAATCAATCCACGTTGCAGTTATATTTCTGTGCTGTCCTCCTTCCTTTATAGTATGTCATTTTCTCCATATGCCCTTTCTGTCACCATCTCTCAATATCCTCCTAACAATTTTCATCAATAAGCTGAAGAAAATGACTACTCCCTAACCCCACCTCCAAAGTGTTTAGACCCAAATAATTTTGAAATTTTAAGTGTGACTTGTAATGGAAAAGGACCACAGAATTCAATAGTCAAAGAAGATGTAAGTTCAGGTTAAGAGACAAACATTCTACCTACGTCTAAAAAATAATCAACTGGGTCTACTACACACATTTTAGCCACCACCACCACACACATTTTAGCCACTCCCACACACACATACACACAAGTCCCTTCACCCACATTGTGATTTCAAAGACTGGTTAGTTGTTAACAACAGTCATTCTTCCCTTTTAGTTCTTGCTAGTTAATAGCTTCCCTTATTCCATCCTATCTTCTGGTGGTGTAGAGGGTAAGGCATTTGGCTGCTAATCAAAAGGTCAGTCATTCGTACCCACCAAGAACCCACCAAAAGGTCAGTCATTCGAACCCACCAGCTGCTCCATGGAAGAAAAATGTGGTGGTATGCTTTTGTAAAGATTTACAGCCTTGGAAACCCAGTGGGGGTTGCTATGAGTTGGAATCAACTTGATGGCAGTAAGTTTGGTTTTTTTGAGTATCTAGTGTTTGGGGCACAGAATCTTGGATCCAAGAGCAGTCCACCTTTTCTTAGGGCCTGACTCAGGACTTCAAAAAAGTAGCAAAAGTAAACAAACAAAAAAAATCAAACCCATTGCCCTCAAGTCGATTCTGACTCACAGAGATCTGACAGCACAGAGTAGAACTGTACCACAGGGTTTCCAGAACCTGCCACATCTTTCTTGTGCAGGGCAGCTAGTGGGTTCAAGCCACCAACCTGCAGCT